CCGAGGCACCCTCGTTACAAGAACGAAAACCGCTGGCAGAAACAGGAACGACGGAGGCCGAGCACCCCTAGTCTAAAATTAACGATGAACGGCGAGAGCCTAAAGCACCCAAATGGGGTCGTGATGCCAACGGATCTGACTGCTGCGGCTGTGAACGCGAGCAGGTCCGAGCAAGCAGATAACGTGATGGAGACAACGGACGAACCACTCAAAGGCGGAACGAGGCTCGGATCAGCGAACCAATCAAAGGGTGCGAATGAGGCGAGCGGCTTCGTAGCAGTGAGCGGTGGCGAGGGTGAGAGTAGCGGCACGTGGAGGTCGCTCGTGGGCCGATCGCATGCCGTCGATGTCCTTCTCGAGTTCGGCTAAGCACCGCTCGACCTGCATCTCCTTCTCGCACCACCTCTGTCCTCCTTGCACACCCTGAAAGTAAAACAAGAAACACAAACCGACACGAATCTGTCAGAAAAAGTCTTTGCGGGTACACAAGATCAAAGCTGGTTCGTCCAGTGAAGTATGAGGTCTCGGAGGACAGCCTTCGCAATTTTCGTCTACACGGGAAATGGCGAAAACGGCTCCAATCACAGGCATCAGGCTTTTGTAAAAACTACTCACGTGAACGGGGTGACCGAGTAGCGCGTTGAGGCCAAGGTGAACGCGCTCGACCACCGTCGCACCCGCTGCTGCGAGAGAGTCGCCGGACACCAGAGCGTCGCCGGCTTGCTCGTTGCGACCGTTGGCCTGAACGTGCTGCAGCATGCGACCGTAAGACTGCAGAAACTGCGACATCGCCTGGTTTGACGGGAAGACCGGGGTCGGCGGGAGAGACTCAGTCGGGTAACCAGAGTAATAGGCGGAGGAAGTCGGCGCCGGCATCGCTATCGCCATGGCGTTCGTGGCGACGGATCGTGAGGACGGGGAGGCGTCGGCTCTAGGAGTAAGGCGGAAGGAGGTGGGTTGTGCAGGTGGGGTGTTGCATTTGTCACTGAGAAGGGATTTAGAGAGAGCTGCGCTCGATGGAATACAGGTGCGCGCGAGAGTCATTGAAGCAGCGGCCATGTCGCAAGCTTGATGTGTGGAACTGTGGAGCTAGAGCGAATAATAGCACCAGTCGGTAAAGAGTGAAAGCAAAAACGGACAGGAAAAGATAAGAGCTTTTGACAAGGTGAGTGATTTGAGTTGAGCTATATATACTTCTCCAGAATCTCCATGCAAGAAACTCTGCTTTGGTTTGGGGAAAGTGAAGGCAAAAGCAAAACGCAGTCAAACAAGGAGGAGGAGCCGTGGACAGCAAGGTTGTGTACGGTTTGATACGATGTAGTACGTCATTGTAAAACAGCTCAAGGTGGCGTTCTTGTGCCTTCCTCATCATGCCATTCGCGAAAGTGGTTGCGAAGCTCCACTACGAGGGCCACCACCACATGCGGTTCACGAAACAAAATCCACCGCCACGCTGACTTTCGCTGGTGATGTGTCACTCACTTGCGGAACCGCGACATTCCCGCAGTGTCGTGTTGTGGGGAAGCTGCCTGCGAGGGTGCCGATTTGATTGGTGCGGCGCGTGATCGTTCTCTGGTTGTTGAGTGGAGGGAGGTTGCGTGCCATCGGCGAGTTGATCGAGTCAGACGAGTAGCCAACGGGTTTCCGAAGAAAGAGCACCGATGAGGTGGATGGGCTTCTGACCACCACAGAAAAAGGTGCATTCCAGCGGCGAAGTGTCAACGAATTGGCGCGGGAGCGGCCACTGTTTATCCAGTAAAATCGACATATTTCGAAGGCATGTGGTTGAGCTGTGCTGCGCTGGCAAAAGTGAAGCGTTGTTGCCCAGCTAGGTACAGTACACGTAGTAGGTAGGTGCCACTTTTGCTCAGCGCTTTGGTGATTCTACGTGGCCGTTGGTTGGCTGGGAAACTGATCTCATTTTTATTGGCTATTCAAGAGTCGCAAGAAGAATCTCAGGACGCGGTGAAAGTGCTCGATCGGGGGTAGATCGATTCGGTCACCGCACAAAACCCCGCTTTTTGGACACGAAAGGTACACAACCTTTTATAACCGCGCTAAAAAACGAACCTTAGGCGATCGATTCTCCACTTTCACCGCGTCCTCATATCACCTCTCCGATCCACGCCTCTCGTCGTCGCGGAACCACGCATGAAGCCCCCACCTTAGCGGAGACTTGCGACTCAAAACCTTCATTGGAATCACGCAATGTTCGCCCGTTTCACGCAAAACCCGTTGTTGCCGCTGTCTGGATGATTCTGACCCCTGACGATTTATGTACATGGTCGCTGTGCTCCGATTAGGACAAAAAAAGCATCTTACAAATGCACTTTGAATCCTTTAAATGTTCAATATATTGCTCACATCACTTTTGTGAAAAAAAAACTCAATTCCTCCATCGAACAGAATCTCTAGTGCAACCTCTGAAAATAACACACTTGGAGTCTCATGACGAATATCCCCTTTCGCCATAGCAGGTATGTGAGCATCCTTGCACTAAACTCCCTGGGAACAATGAGATACAGCCTGATAGAGCATTACAACACAACGTCACTGTTGGTCATGCACTCACCACCCATGAGCAATGAACACGCACAACTTGTCCATGCGTAACAGTCATGAATGGTCATGTGCAATGCCCGGGCAACAAAACTGCATCTGTGACACGCAGGGAGTGTATCTGTGACATCCAGAGAGTGCATGTGTGACACGCAGGGAGTGCATGTGTGACATGCAGGGAGTGCATGTGTGAGACGCAGGGAGTGCATATGTGACATTTGGGACATATACGAATGAATCTCCACGCTGCTTCAGACAGAACCTGTTCTGCGACCCAGTGAAGTTGCTTGTTGCACTCCTGCTTCCACAACTGCTGCTACCGGCACTTGTGCCGGAACTCGGGGGGGAAACGTGGTGAGCGAAGGGCACTTGTAACGAGTATGAGGTGGGAAGAGGGAACAAGGAGCAGGGGGTGGGGAGAAAGGGAAAGGAGGGGAGGGGATGGGGGTTGGGGGGAGGGGGGGGGAGGAGGAAGAGAAAAGGACTAGAAAGTAGCATAACCACATACACTCTCCTCAGCGTGATCAAAAGATGTGGTGGAAGGGAAGGAAGAACGGGGGAAGGCGGGGGAAACTTTAAAGGATGCTGCTGAAAGGGGTGAGGGAGGGAGGGAAGGCGGGGAAACCCTGAAAGATGCTGCTGAAAAGAGGGAGGGAGGAAGACGGGGCGGGAGAGACCCTGAAAGATGCTGCTGAAAGGAGGGAGGGAGGAAGAAGGGGCGGGAGAGACCCTGAAAGATGCTGCTGAAAGGATGAAGGGAGGAAGAAGGGGCGGGAGAGACCCTGAAAGATGCTGCTGAAAGGATGAAGGGAGGAAGAAGGGGCGGGAGAGACCCCGAAAGATGCTGCTGAAAGGAGGGAGGGAGAAAGAAGGGGCGGGAGGGACCCTGAAAGATGCTGCTGAAAGGATGAAGGGAGGGGGAAGGCGAAGAAATCCTGAAAGATGCTGCTGAAAGGATGGAGGGAGAGGGAGGGAAACCCTGAAAAATGCTACTGAAGCTCTCCGGGGTGGAAGGAGCGAGGGGGAAAGAAGGGGGTTAAAATGCTGCTGAAACACACTGCAATCGCGTAGGGACAGTGTCCGCGAAAGGGAGAGAGGGAGGGAGGGAGGGAGGGAGGGAGGGAGGGAGGGAGGGAGGGAGGGAGGGAGGGAGGGAGGGAGGGAGGGAGGGAGGGAGGGAGGGAGGGAGGCAGGCAGGGAAACCCCGAGAGAGGCTGCTGAAGCACCCTGCAATCGCGTAAGGGACAGTGTCCGCGAAGGCGATAAGGGGAGAGAGGGGGGACGGGGGGGGGGGGGGGGGGGGGGGGAGGGGGGAGGGGGGGGCGGTGGGAAGGGGAAAGGGAGGGAGGAGGAAATGCTGCTGAAAGTTCCCCCAACATTCGAGGAGAGTGGGGAGAAGGAACGGAGGGAAGGGGGAGACGGAAAGGGGTGGGCAGGGAGAAACGGAACCTGTTAGGCTTCGCCCTCAGCCGATATATTTCACAGACACTTGGCGCGAGTAACCAGCGCGAGTTACCAGCGTGAGTTACCAGCGCGAGTTTTTCAGGGCGAGATACTCGCGCGATTGCAACTTACCAGCACGAGACCAGCGCGAGTTACCAGCCTGTGTAACCGGCGCGAGTCACAAGCGACAGCGCGCCTTAGGGATTGCTGAAAAATCGGTGGAAAGTTCTTGATAAGGAATCGTATTTTCGTTCGACGGAAATTTATGTTCGAAAACCAAGTCTGCGCCTCTAGGCGAAAGCACTCTCAACCTACTAACTGCCAAATGCCGGAATGTACAGGAAGCATTCGCGACCTTACTACCGCTGTTCGCAACGATGCTTGAGTGACGTTCGTAAATGACGTACTAAATATCAGAAGCGAGACAACACTAAGGTACGAGGCGTGATACTCGTCGCTGCGGTTCTAAGGAATGAGACAGTACTAAGAAAGCCAAATGTAAAATGTGAACGCCAATATCTAGATCTAAAATCGGAAGCGGGAGAGCGTGCGGGTTGTGTGCAGCAGCGTGCCAGAGCTTCCATTGAATCGCCTCGCCTGCTTTTACCCATTGCGACATGTGGCGACAACTTTCAATCTGTTTCGCATCCCTTCGCTCCAACAAATCCCTTCTCTGTTTCGATTGGATCCAGCGATTTTCCACTCAGCTGACCACATCATTCTTCTTGCTGGAGTTACGTTATGAGATAAATCTGAAATCCTTCACGAGCAATCTCTTTCTAAAGCTACGATCTGAAATCCTTCACGAGCAATCTCTTTCTAAAGATACGATCTGAAATCCTTCACGAGTATATGGAAGTAGCGGGAGTATCTCCCATGGGCGCTTCCGTCAGCAGGCAAACGAGCAAGCAAACGGAAGGGTGTTACGATCCATGCGACAAAGGTTTCTGTCGACGCACAAACCGTAGGAGCATGAGCGATTGCCACGCAGTGAACATATGGAGATAGGTTCTTAGCGCTTTCTGCGGCACGTTTCAGCAAAAGCAACAGCTGGGAACGCGCGGTGCGTTGTTTATCTCTTTCGCCTTATCTCGCCATGGAAAGCTTGCGCTTTTTAAATTGAGTCTTCCTTTTTTTTTGGAATCTAACGTGTTTTCCGCATCGTTCATGGTTAATGTCTCTTCAATGGCTTGTTTCAAGAGGAGTGGATTCAGCATGCTGACAGCACGTTCAGCAGCTTACTCCATTCCCCGCTCTCTCCCCTCTCTCTCCCCAACTTCCTCCGTTCCCCCCTCTCTCCCCTCCTTCCCTCCCGTCCCTCCCCGCCCTCCCCCCTCCCTCCCCCGCTCCTCTCCCCCGCTCCTCCCCCCTCTTCCCCCCGTGCGCGCTGTGGACAGCCAGCAGTCCTTCCCCCCGTGCGTGTCGGAGTGGCGCAAGGCGGAGCTGAGCTCGTCGTTCGTTCCCCCCGTGCGCGCTGTGGACAGACAGCAGCTCTTCTCAAAGCCATCGGAGCTGGCGGTGCAGGGCCCGCGCAAGGCCCGCGCAAGGCGGAGCTGAGCTCGTCGTTCGTGGCGGTGTGGTCTGCATGAGGTGCTGCGCGAGGTGCTGCTCAAGGCCCCGCTCAAGGTCCCTGCACGAGTGGTCCTAGCTGCACCCATCCGCACCAACGCCAACCGTGCTCCCCTGCAGGTCACACCCCCGATGGCTGCCTGGGAGGGACAGGGGGATGGGGAGTGGAGGGATGGGGGGAGAGGGTGGGGTGGGGTGGGGTGGGGTGGGGTGGAGTGGGGTGGGGTGGGGTGGGGTGGGGTGGGAGGTTGGAACCGAAACTGTCTGTGCAAACTCGCCTTTGGCTTCTGCCCCCCCTTCCCACGCCTGGTTTCTCAACCTCCCTCCCTCATCCCTCCCTCCTTTCTTGCACCCACACCCTCAACTTGACATTGCGAACATAACGAGTAATGGCATGTTCCTGAATCTCGGGTCGCTGCTGCTTCTTTCTTTGTTGTTATTTGTTTCACCTCAGGACAAACAATGTTTAAGGCGCGTCATCTCCTCCCTCCCTTGCACCCTGCATGTGAAGAGGAGCGGATTCAGCATGCTGACAGCACGCTCTGCATGTGTGCGAGCATGCTGACAGCACGCTCTGCATTTGGCAAAGAACACTGCATGTGTGACATGCAGGGAGTGTATGTGTGAGATGCAGAGAGTGGTGAGATGCAGGGAGTGTATGTGCGACATGCACAAAGCGTATTTGTGACAAGCAGGGAGTGTGATATGCGGGGAGTGCGTGTGTGACATTCAAAAAGCGTATGTGTGACATGCAGGGAGTGTATGTGCGACATGCATAATGGGCGTTCTTCTAACAACTGACAGACGGGTGCAGCATGTGCAAGGCGCATTGGAGTCATGTTGACCCAAAAAGGTGAAAGTGTAAAAGATGGTGACAACTGGTAACTATGGGATGAGTCGTCTTCACCTCTATGTTGCCATTGGGGGCAGCGCAATTATGCTGTCTGATAACCTCAATTCAATGTGGGGGGGGGGGGGGGGACAAATTCTTGCATTGTTTCCCACCAGCCTTATTTCACCAGCCTGCCAGGGTTTCTGTCTCCTCCTTTACCATTGGCACTGCTTCCCTCATACTCTCCACCCCACCCCATCCATGTACCTGAACTGTCCTTCACCCTATTGAGCCATTCCCTCCACTTTCCACTCACCTTGCTGCTCCTGGCTGATGCAAGGGCAAGCGTGTGGGCGATGGGCTGCGTCTTGAAAGACATGGAATGGCAAGTTGATATTACCGTAGCTTACACTATCCAGGCGCCTGGCAAATCATTATGTTTTGTTGCTAATCCCAAGTCCACTCACAGTTCCCCTAGATATAGTATGAGATGATGACTCAACTCAAGTTACTGAGCTTTGAGGCGAATATTGGTGCAGCACATTCGGGGCGGGGATCCATGATTTGGGGTACTGTTGTATGCTAATTAGTATGATTTGATGTTATTTGTATAGTACATCGATGGATACACATGTACAAAACAACAAAGAGAAACAGAGCACCAAGGCACAGGTGCAGGTGCGTGTCGCTTGATCTGGCCCGGCTGATGCCAGGAAAATACAATGACTGGTATTGAGGTAGCTCATACTGTGGTATGCCGTTGCATGAGGATGATGCATCTGTGAGACCTGCCACCATATGTTTATCTGGCCCAGCTGTCGCCAGTTAAATGCAATGACTGGTATTGCGGGAGCCCATAATCGGGTATGCCATGGCGTGACAACATCTGAGGATGGTGTGAGACCTCATAGGCTGGTTGCTGTTGCGGTGACCACTGAGTTTGGTGTAACACTTGATGTTGCGGTAACTGTTGGGTTGGGTGTAGCATCTGCTGTTGTGGTAACAGCTGTTGCGGCTGCATGTGTAACACGTGCTGTGGCGTTTGCCCTTGTAACACCATGTGCTGCTGTGGCATTTGCTGCTGCTGCATCATCTGCTGCTGCATTTGCTGCTGCTGCATTTGCTGATGTTGCTCCTGCATTTGCTGCTGCTGCATGTGCTGTTGCTGCATTTGCCGCTGCTCCATCTGTTGCTGTAACACCTGCTGTTGGTGCAATTGTTGCTGCTGCTGCATTTGCTGATGCAAAACCTGCTGCTGCTGCATGTGCTGACGTAGCAAATCAGATTCTGACTGTTGCCTCAGCAGCACCGCCCTCTGTGCTGCCGTGCTGCCGCCATATCCTGCCGTGCCGCCGCCATATGCTGCCGTGCTGCCGCTATATCCTCCCTGCCTGGCCTGCTGTGCTTCCCTCGAGCTGCCCCGGCGGCTGGGAGCACCACAGAGGCTTGAGTGGCAAGGAACCTGAGGGCGGGCAGAGGGGCATGGGGGAAATGGGACACAGGGGAATGGGGAGATTGGCATACAGGGGAATGGGGGAACTGGTGGCAGCAGCAGCAGAAGCAGCAGCAGCAGCAGTGTGTGTGGGGTGGGCGTGCCGCCATGTCCTGCCTGCCACGTCCGCAATATCCCTATTGCCTGGGCTGCTGCGCTTCCCTCGAGCTGCCCCAGTGGCTGGGACTGGGAGCGCCGCAGAGGCTTGCACAGCAGGCAACCTGCATGGGGGGAATGGTGTAGCTGCCAGGGGTGAAAGATTGCAGGGGTAAAATGAAGGAATTGAGACCCAGGGGGAATGGGGGAATACTCCTTCCATTGCGCGGCCTGATCAACACCCCCTCCTCCTCTCTTGCTTCCCTTTGTCAAAAGTGACATTTGAGTGCCTCTTGAGTCAGCTTTCCCTCTTCCTGCCCACTTCTATGCAGTGTGCTTCAGAGAAGCTGCAGAACCAGGGAAGCTGAAGAGAAGGTGCAGCGAACTTTCAAGGAACCTGCCAAGAACCATCAGCGTCAAACAGAGGACCAACCTACTTGCCTCTAGGATCATTCCTTTGAGATTAAAACCAAGAAGCTCAAACACAAAAGAAGTCGAGAGATGAAAAGAAGCAGAGTCTTACATAATCCGAGTCCCTGCACTGGCCACGTTGACGGGCAGAAGGAGATCCATCCCATCCGTCTGCTCCCATCGCTGCTCCCCCACCTCCTCCCGCCCTTCCTCCTTCCCTGCCCTCGTTCTTCTTGCGTGCTCCCATGGACTGCATCAGCATCACCACTGCTAGTGGCTTCTGCTCCTGCATCTGCTTCCTCCACCTCTCCCTCTCCCTCTCTGCTTCCCTCTTCCTCTCCCTTTCCATCTCCCTCTCCCTCTCCCTCTCCCTCTCCTGCTCCCTTTCCCGCTCCCTCTCCCTCTCCCTTCTCTCCCGCTCCCTCTCCCTTTCCCTCTCCCTCCTCTCCCTCTCCATTTCCCTCTCCCGCTCCCTCTCCCTTTCCCTCTCCATTTCCCTCTCCCTCTCCCTCTCCCTCTCCTCTGCTCTCCGCTGTTGCATTATTTCTTCCTGTAACTGCCTTTCCCTCTCCTGCTGCTGCCGTTGCTCCTCCTGCTGCTGCCGTCGCTGCTGCTTCTGCTGCTGGTGCAGCAAGTAAGACTGCTGCTGCTGCTCCACCCACTGCTGTTGCAGCTCAGGGGAAATACCCTCGGGTATTTTCGAGTAAATAGCAGCGATTATTCTAGGCGGGATCATTGGGTTGATACTAGTGACGGTTGTGGTTGCTGCCCTCCCCCTCCCCTGCTGCTGCTGCTGCTGCTGCTTCTCACCCATTTCAGCAACAGGCACAATCTGCTGCTGCTGCCCCTCCCTCTCTCCACCCCCCACCGCCACCACCGTCCCACCCCCGTATCCTCCTGACGTCACCGAATCCTGCTGAACCTGCATCGATGACGTCATAATCGCGGGCATGTCATGGTGCGCTGACGTCAGCATGGTCATGCTGGTGGGAGCACTAACCAGCATACTGTTAGGTGCGCTAGCCAGGATGCTGCTGTTAAAGGCCCTGTTGTTGCTGCTGCCTGCGCTGGCTATGGTGCTATTGATGGCATGTGCATGCATGGTGCCATAAGCGGTGGGGGAGCTAGAAGCTGAATGTGCATGCATGGGGGAGGAAGGCTGGGAGGAAAGGTGAGAGGACGGATGGGAGGAGGAGGCAATATGCACACCATTACTCCCCTGAGGGGAGGAGGCGATATGCACACCGTTACTCCCCTGAGGGGAGGAGGCGATATGCACACCGTTACTCCCCTGAGGGGAGGAGGCGATATGCACACCGTTACTCCATGTACATTCATCTGTGGGAAGGATGGGCTTATAGTCTGAAGTGACTCTGAGGGGTGAGTCTGGAGAGAATGAGGCGCCTTGAAGGGAGAAGGAGAATTGGGAGATGTGGGTGATGCGGGTGATGGGGTTGAGGGGATTGAGATGGTTAGAGAGTGTGTGGGGAAGGTTGAGAGTGTGTGATGGGGTTGAGGAGCAGCCATGCCTAGAGTTTGCTGTTGCATGAATTGCTGTGAGACCAAGGGTAGCTGTTGAGAGGGTATAGACATGGATTGCTGTTGTGATGGCATGGCTTGTTGTGAAGCCATAGATGGTTGTTGAGAGGGCATGGACATGGATGGTACAGCACCAGTGGATGCGTATGGTATGCTGGCTGAGGGGTAAGCCATGCCTGATGCTGCCACGGATGACGTCAGCATTGAGTGAGACGGTGACGTCATCATGGTGTACTGTGATGTGGAGAGGGGGTGCGGTGGGGATAGTGAGTGAGTGTGAGCATCGGGGTGAGAGGAGGAGAGAGAGTGTGAAGGGGAAAGAGGGTGTGAGGGCGGGAGAGGGTGTGAAGGGGAGAGTGGGAGAGAGGGGGAGAGTGAGTGGGTATGAGTGAGTCTAGGAGGAGCATGAGCAGGTGACGTCATCATGTGTTGGCCTGCTGACGTCATCATCCCCATGTGCCCTGCTGACTGCATCGATCCATCAGGCAGCATCATCCCCCCATTGCGCTGCTGCAGACCTGTGAGCTGTAAACCACTGCCACCGCTCTGCACCGCACTGAACCGCACATCACTACTCTGTAATCCCTGTAGCCCCTGTTGACCGTTGCAGTACTGTACACCGTTGATATTATTGTTAATACTTTTATTATTACTGCCATTACTATAAACTACAGTACCCGTGGTGGCGTCTAAAAATGCAGGAGGCGGAGGAGGAAGCTTCATGGCAGTTGCCACCAGGTTGCCCGATGATGTCAGCATGGGTTGCTCTGCTGACGTCATCATGGGGTTCTGCTGCCAGCCCATGCCAGCTGTCATGCGGCCAGACCCACCATCCCCGCTCCCACCATCCCGGCCGGCATGGATGGCGATGTTGCAGATGGCGATGCTGCCGTCATCATGGCACCGTGACATGGTGCTGCTGACGTCATCATGCTGCCATGAGATGGAGATGCTGACGTTATCATGGTTTGGACTTGCGGCATCGCTGCCGCTGCTGCTGCGCCTGCACCTGCACCTGCTGCCACTGATGCTGCTCCTGCTACAGCTGTTGCTGTTGCTGTTGCTGTTGCTGCTGCTGCCGTTGCTGTCACATCAACAGCAGCATCTGCAGTTTTTGCTTCCCTCCGCGCCTCGTTCCTGCCCTCCGCATTTCCCCCATCCCCTCCTCCCTTTTCTCCTGGTCCTGCTTCTCCACTCTTGCTTCTGCTGTCGCTGCTGCTGCCTCTGTTGCAGCTGCTGCTGCCACTACTGCTACCATCACTGGTAGCACCACTCTCATCCCTATTTTCCCTGATCTTCCTTCTGCTGCTGCCCCTGCTTTCCCTGCTGCTGCTACTGCTACTGCTACTGCTGCTGCTGCCGTTACTGCCAATGCGCCTCTCTCCCTCCCTCCCTCCTTCGGCCGGACGTGAAGTTGAAGCAGAAACCGGACCTGTAACCGAGCCTGTGACCGAACCAGAATAACCCGAACCAGCAGGCGCCGAACCAGAGGCAATGGCTTTCCGCCTTGCTGCGGCTGCAGCTGCTGCCTTTCTCCTTTCAATAGGGAGGTTGGTGGGAGGGGGGTGGAAGGGGAAGGAGAGGGGGAGGGAGAGGGGGAAGAGAAGGCAGAGGGAGAGAGAGGGGAGGAAGAGGGGGAGACAGGCCAAAACGGCGGCAGTGGGGACAGGGGAGGAGGCGATGATGGGGTGGGGGAAGGAGGGGAGGAAGGGATAGAGGGAAGAGGAGCGAGGGAAAGAGAAGAGGGAGAAGTGTTGGGAAGAGGTGAGGGAGAGGGATAAGCGTCTGGAGTGTGGGGAGAGGGAGGGAGAGGAGGGGAGGAAGTGAAGTCAGGGGAGGGAGGGAGAGGAGGTGAGGAAGGGGGAGCAGGAGAGGAAGATGGGGAAGACGGGAGGTTGACTGGAGCAGCAGGAGGATAAACAGTCTTTCTTCTGTTGCTGCCCGAACGACCCCCCTCACTGCTTGAGTGATCGCTTCGGCTGCCCGAAGCACGAGAACCATGAGGCTTGGTCAAGGGAGCTGCAGGTTCGGCAATCGAACTAGGCTGAGGTTGGGAACGTGGGGATTCATGCTCGGATGACCTAGGTTCGGAAACCAAAGAACCTTTGCAATCTCCCTCTAGGACAGCCTGAGGCACGGCAGGAGCACAGACCTGAGCCTCAGCTTTGGAAGACCCTGTGGTAAATGGAGCAGTTGCGGTAAGGCCTGGGTGGGCGACAGGCTCGGAATGAGGCCCGGGAAGAGGTCCGGAGGAACGAGGTACAGCTGTGGGCATACAATCAGTGCTGCTGCTCTTGGTATTCTCTTGGGTATGGCTTTGGATTTGCTGTCAGTCTTGCTGTGAGTCCTGCTTTGCTTCCTGCTTGTAACCGTAGGGTTACCACCTCTCCTGCTGCTTCCTCTGCTGCGGGTGCTTCTTCCCGTGCTGCTGCTGGTGGCGCTTCTGCTGGGCCGAACCTGCTTGGGAGACCTTGCCGAACCGGAAGAGTAGGCTCGGGAGAATGCCGAGCCTGAAGAGGCGGACCTGCCGGACGTGACCCTGGGAGATGCGCTGGGAGAACCGGATGAAGAGGCTCGGAAAGAGGTTTGGTGGGAGGCCTGGGGGGACTCTTGGGGGCCGGAGGCGGAAGGAGTGGGGGAGAGGCAGGGGGGAGGCGCAGCATGAACAGAAGGAGGGCAGGGAGGGACGGGGGAAGGGGCGGGGGGAGAGGCGGGAGAGGGGGAAGAGGGAGTGGAGGGGATGGAGGGAGACGAGGGGGGGGAGGGAGAGGAAAGAGAGGAGGCACAGGAGGAGGCGGGAGAGGGGAGAGCAACCCGTCTGCTGGTGATGCCTCTTGACCTAGACGTTCCGCTGCTCTGGCTCTTGCTGCTGCTGCTCCCTCTGCTCCCTCTGCTCCCTCTGCTGCTTCCTCTGCTGCGTCGGCTGCTGCTACCGTCGCTGCTGTCACTGTTGCCGTTACCGCTCCTCATGTTACCACTGTTTGTGTTACCACTCCTTGTGTTACCAATCGTGTCACTTGTGTACAGGTCATTGCCGCTTCTGCCACTGCTGCTTCTGTTGGCCACTCTTCCGTTGTCCGTGCTGTTGCTGTTACCGGTGCTCCTGAGAACGTTGTCTCTCGTGCTGCTGCTAGCGCTGCTCCTTATAGCATCTGGTCTGCTATCACTGCTTCTCGTGCTGCTGCCCTCCCCTCCGTTGTCGTTGCTGTTGCCTCTGATTTTGAGAAAATAACCTCTCAGGCTGCTGCTAGCGCTGCTCCTGATAGCCTCATTCATGCGATCACAGCTTCTCGTGCTGCTGCTCCCCTGCGCAACGCCCTTGTTCATGCTCCCACTTTGCCTGCTCATGCTCCCGCCTCCCCTGTTGCCTGTTTCTTGCGCTTCTCCCCTGCTAAAGCTGCCTCTGCCTCTGCTATTGCTGCCGTTTATCCTCTCCCAGTTATTACCACCGTTCCCTAACTCTGCCGGTTCTCCCCTGTTCACGCTGCCGCTGTCCCTGCCACTGCTGCTGCAGATCCTCTCCCAGTTATTATCTGAATCATCCTCCTCATTCATTCTCCCACCCCCACTGTCCCCTAGCCCTGGCGCATTGCCCCTGCTCGCGCTGCCTCTGTCCCTGCTACTGCTGCTGCGGATCCTTTCCCAGTTATCACCACAATCACCCTCCTCGCTTATTCTCCCACCCCCACTGTTCCCTAACTCTGCTTCCTCCCTGCTTCCACTGCCACAGTCCCTCCTACTCTGGTAACCACCCTGGTATCCACGTCTGTACCCATCTCTATCATAACTCGCAATGTCCGTTGGCCCTGGCAATACCGCTACTGTCAACCGTACCATACCCATCAGCACTCCCATCTCTACCACCATTCCTGCACCGAGTCCCACTCCCTCCAGTGTCACCAGAACCGTACCAAACACCACTCCCTCCACTATCACCAATGGCATAACTGTCAGCCACCCTCCTACTCCTTGTGTAATCATCCCTGTCGGAAACCCCTTCCATAGAAGCGAGACATTGGTTTGAGCCTCTACCATTGCCCCTGTCACCCCTGCTGCCGCCGCTGCCGCCGATGCTGCTGCTACCGCTGCCCCTGACGCTTCTGCTACCGCCACAGCTACTGCTGCTGCTAGTAGAAACAGCATGCGGGATGGAGCCTCTGCTATAGCCCCCGATTTCCACTGCACCGGCCGATGGGTGTAAGTCACTGTGTTGCAAGCCTCTCTTACTGCTACCGCCACAGCTACTGCTGCTGCTCGTAGAAGCAGCATGCGGGATGGAGCCTCTGCTATAGCCGTTCTTAGCAAATGCACCGGCCAATGGAGGTAAGCGGCTCTGTTGTAAGCCTCTCCGTCTGCTGCTGCTGCCAATGTCACTGCTGATGCTGCTTGTGGAAGCATCACGTGGGATGGAGCCTCTGCTATAGCCCTCCATTGCCACTGCACCAGCCGATGGGGGTAAGCTGCTGTGCTGTAACCCCCTCCTCCTTCTCCTTCTCCTGCTGCTGCCGTCGCTGCTGCCGCCGCTGTTGCTCCTGCTGCTGCTAGCTGCAGCACCAGAGTGGGGGCTGAAGCGACCAGCCACACCGAAGAGACCAGAAGCAGCAGTGGCAGTGGCGGCAGTAACAGGGTTGGCATACGAACCTCCAGACAAGCTCTGGTTTGCATACAAGCCGTGTGGGTCCCAAAGGTCGTCAAAAGGTTCGGTAAGAGGTTCGTCAAGAGGTTCGGCAATACTTTTGGCTAGGGCTGGTAGTCTTGCTTCCTGTGCCCTGCACCACCGTTGCTCCTCCTCTTCCTCTTCCTCCTTGAGCCGCCTCTCCTCCTCTTCCCTGCACCGTTTTCTCCTCCTCCTCCTTGCACCACCACCCTTCTCTCTCCTCCTCTTCCCTGCACCGTTTCTCCTCCTCCTTGCACCACCACCCTTCTCTCTCCTCCTCTTCCTCCTCATCTTCTTCCTCTTCCCTCTGCTGAAAGAGCGGAAGGTGATCAACGGGTTGGGAAACGCCAAGGCCTCTGGCTAAGGCAGGCAGAATCGCTTCTTCCTCTTTGCACCACCGCCCCTCTTCCTCCTCTCTCTGCTGGAAGACCGGCAAGTCTTCAACGGGTTGGGCAACGTCAAGGCTTCTGGCTAAGGCGGGTAGTCTGGCTTCCTCCGCCTTGCACCAACGCTGCTCCTCCTCCTCCTCTTCTTCTTCCTCCTCCTCCTCCTCTTCTTCTTCCTCCTCCTCCTCTTCCTCCTCCTCCCGCTCTCTGCTGTAATTTCCAGCCTCAAGTGGCACAACCACTCTGCTTACCGCCTCATCTTCCCCCCTCCCGTTAATCCCCCCGTTTTGCCTTGCAATGTTACCACTGGGAGCAGTTTCTTGCAAGTAGTTACCACATGAACGAGCTTCGCGCATGTGGTTACCAGCTGACGTCCATTGCCTCGCATGGTTACCACTGGCTGCTTTAGGCGAGGCGAGGGGGTTTCGACCACCGTGCACGGGTGATAGTATCCTCGGCCTGAACCTGTGCGTTCTGGCCGTTACTCCTGCTGCTGCTGCTGGTTTTGCTGCCGTTCCTACTGCTGTTGCTGCTGATCCTGAAGCCGATGCTACTACTGCTCTCGCTGCTGCGGGTGCTGCTGGTGATGCAACCGACGCTGTTGCTGCTGCTCTTGCTCCTTCTGCTGCTACACTTGCTGCAGCAGCAGGTGGTTCTTTCAAATCCAGGTAACCATTCCCTCCCTTTCCTCTTCCAATCCCACTCCACAAACTAGCCCCAGCGGCGGCTTATGAGACGTCTCAAAGCTTGCTGCTGCAGCCAGTGCTGCTCGTGTATCCGGAAACCCGTTCCCTCTTCCAATCCCACTCCACGAACTAGCCAGCAGCGGCGGCTTTGAGGCGTCTCAAGCCTCGTTGCTGCAACTGGTG